GTTCTATCTCGTTACGTATCCTATAAACGCACTCACTATTCCCAAAGTACAATCAGAATAGTTCAAAGAGTAACTTCGTCAGTAAGGAAGAAAGGAATGAAGCTGTTTCTGCTCTTCCTTATTCAATTGTTTTTGACTTTGGCAACCCTGCCTTAAATCAGCTTATGTTTCGTAATTTGCATCAAGAATCTTCTTGAGACGATCTGCACTGTCATCAACAACAGTAGGATCAGGAATGAAAAAATTTTCTTCTTCATAATGGTATCGCTATTTTTCATAGGAATAGATCGCCGATCCCATTCCACTGACATGGTAGTGAAAATGAACTTGACTCTATAGATCAGAGAGAATATCTCGACCTATGATCATGTCATAACGCCCCCAAGCTCTTGGTGACGTGTAAGTCCCCTCGATAATTCTATCTTCGTGGAATTCAGGAAATCATTAATGCACCTTTGCACTTCGTGCTGTGTTTAATTCTCCTGCATGGGTGTCCACATCGTTTGGACGCCCCCCATATCCTTCATGCGTAGTTTCATTAGCATGAGTTGAGCAATACAGGTTCCGGATGCTCCTGATCCAGTAAGCAACGGATTGTAACGTGTTTTGGTTTTCCCTTTTCTTCGCTTGTTAAATCTAACATAGTAACGATGGGTTTGAGGTCTCTTGATACTTAGCGACGTTACGAGGGGTTGGCCACGGACGAGAGTTAACGATGCTAAATAGATTGATCAGAGTTCTAGTAGCAGCTTCTTAGCAATTCATCTATATTTGCCGTAGAGTTCATACAGTTAGCAAACAATCTTGTTTACTAGTTATGTAGATATCTTTCATCACTATTTGGTATGAGAAATCGGCAACAGGGTTCCTTGAGTCATATCCTGGCTATCCTCAGATAGAGATTTCTCACGTACCAAGTGATTGAAATTGATAGAGGATTGTCCATCATTGTCAGAGTCTTCTGATTTGCGCCTTGGCAACAATGGTATGCGAAAGTTTGCAGAGTGTAGCAGCGAGTATCGATCGGAATCTATCGTTTTTACTTCGTCATTAGTCGAAACGAGAGGAAGAATGGGTTGGTCACGCAACTGTTTCTCAAAGTTGCGGAAGCATGCTTTACTTTGAGCCAATCTACATGGTGAGGAATAGGTTAGATGGTAGCTGTAAAGTCGATTGTGATTCAGTTAACAAATGCACTACGCTAAAAGCTAGTGTAAAGATCTTTCGAGTGTTTTGAGTTTGAGAGAATAGAAAGTTTATGAGAGAGATTAGAAAAGCTATGAAAACTAATCAAACGAGAGAGATCATCATCAGAGGATCGTAGATCTGGCTTCCCGCGGGAGACTATTAAGTGTGATAGAGTAGGTTGTGGTAGTAATCCTACGTTTCTCCACGATCCTAAAACGGAACGCGTGGAAGGTTTGTCTAGCCTGGATCTAGTAGCGTGGAAGTACTCCACGCTGGCTAAATATCTAGAGCGATGTTTCATCATCAACCTAGTATGACTAGTGCGGTCATTGAGAACCCTGTCTCAAATGACTATTCACGAGAGACTCGGTCATGAGTCGAACTCAAACCCTATCTAGGATCGAGTCGCGAATCACATCAGTTCAAAGTCGAGGATTTGGCTCTTAAGGTCTGGCCGTGGTAGGGCAACAAATGACAATTCTATGGTTCTTTTGATCGAATTTGTGTCAAATAAGAGAAGATTGGTCGTTATCCCCACCCAAATCGAGCAATTTGAAGAAAAACCAAGTGTAGCGACGGCCAGACCTTAAAAGACGTTTGAACTGATGTGGAATAAGGCTAAGAGCCGTGTATTGCAACATACATGTATGTACATGCTGGTAGACACTAAAATCGATTGTGATTCGATTCATCATTCGATTCGATTCGATTCGATTCGATTCGGTTTTCAGTTTTCGGGAACTTTGTAACAGTACCGGTATTGAGCCTGAACCCTTCGTAAGAGTGACAGTCGCCGGCACACCCAGGTTCCGACATAATTATTCTAATTAGAGCTTTACAAGAACAAACAAAATTTTGGCTGCCATGCACCCTCCACTCTCCTCAAATAACTTCTGAGTGAAAACAAAACCATGGCGTCGTCTTCCGGATCATCTTCATCCTCTGGGTCTGCGGCTTCGAGTATCTTTCGAGTTGACTATGGGAATGATGGGTCTACTCCTGTTGGGTATTCTTGTCAACAGCTGATGAGCGACAATCAAGCATCTGTTTTGTTTGTGGAATACTATTACGACATCCAGCATGACACGACGGTTGATGCTGCTTCAGTTGTGGCTCAGGGGGAGGCAGATTTGCTGAATATAGTGGCGTCGCATTTTGGGCTCATCGATGGGGCGAGATGTTCTATCCCCCCCGTGACGGCCTTGTGGCTGATAGAAGTCACGTCGGAACCTGCAGACGAAGTGGTGGATGTGTTTGGTAAGTGCGATTATTATGGAGTGACAAAATGAGCTGTTTGACTTTGAGATAGACTATCGTGGTACTCATTTATCACTATGGCTACCTCCTCTTTGCCGTCACCTATTATAGATACTTGTCAGGAGTTGGTGCCAGGAACAGGCCAATCTTGTTCAGTGTACAGGGGTTATATGGAAGCACATTATCTAGGGGTTGGCAATCCGGCATCCTTTCAAAGTTATATACAATCAAACCTCAACAACATTGGGACTGGCAAAGGCTTTCGAATCGCTTACCTTGGAGCACAATTAGACACCAGTCTCATTGGGAACACTAGTGGAAGAGACCAGCTGAACCCTTCCAAAAACAAAGCTGAACCCCCCCAATATGCTGATCCTGGTAAACGAACATTTACTTTTGTGGGTGGACTGTTGGTTGCTGGGTTCCTGGCCGCTTTTCTGGGACTTTTCTTTGTGCTGTATCGACGGAGACAAAAGTTCTTGGCCGCTCAGCAAGTTGAAATTGCTCTCTCCAAGTCCGGACTGGATGACGCCACACCCCAGGAACAAGACCTCAGCGCGAGCTTACGAGCGCAACGAATGGAACCAGAAATTGGACAGGAAAGTTTCGAGACTCACGAAGATGAGTATTCAGGCAACAACTATAGATTTGACCTGGCCACCAGTATGAAGAATGAACTCTTCAATATACACGGCCGGGCAGCAGACCCGCCTCATAGAAACTTCGGGGTTGGGATTGAAGAAACCTCCGATAGCGACGCCGATAGTTGGGCACAAACGGATGGAACTATTGGAAGTCTGGAACTGCAGCTGGAACCTATAACAGCTGAGGTATGAGCGATGCAGTGAACATGGATGGATTTCGTTCTATCCTATGGCAATGACAATCGAAGCAGTTTGGCTTGGGGCGTCACCTTCGGTGGGAGGTCGGGGGCTTCTCACCCGTCAAAAGATGTACCGTACTTTGGCTGGTGCCAACCTGTGCTTGCTTATCGCCTCCAACAATATATGGCACCGAAGACAAAGCAGTTGGCTTTTTCCTTTGTTTCTTTATGATAGATTCGATCCTTGGCAACCAACTCAGACTCGGGGGGGGAGCATTAGAGATATCAGCTCAAACTCTTAGATCACAGCATCTAGCAACGTCCAGGTACATACATATGTATACTTGCTTCACTATGGGAGTACGGTACCTAACATGATACAAAAGCAAGTTACGTTTTAGAGAATAATAATCTATCTATCCTCCCGTACATCCACAATTACATGAAGCTCTCGAGCCGTAAAAGTAATAATTCAGCTTCCTTCGCGTTTCGCAGCCATTTCCAGGAGTTTTGGGGATCAGCAATAGCACCCAAACAGTAGCGTGCGGCCATGAGGGGAAAGCCGGTGCTACAGTACCGTACCGGTAGCTACTCGGCAAGTACTGTATCTACAGTCTACAGCACCGGTACAGTACCGGTAGTAGCTCGACATCATCCCACAGATGGCACTGGGTGACTGCGCCGACATCTTGCTGTGGTCTTACAATATTGGTCCTCTCTCCTCTATCTGGTAGAGCTGTCTGTAGCTAATAAGTGATGTCGACATAGAAAAACCAGCGTGACGGCAGCATTGCATCCAATGACGGCGGTCAAAGTTGCAAGCTAACAGCCAGACTAGTCTACTAGCAGCTAAATCTGTAGCAATACGGCGCGATCGCATGTGCTCCATGACAGCACACAGTCTCCAGTTTGTAGTACGTTGCAAGAAATGCGCGAACGGTATCTTTCGTGGCTTTGCTTTATGGCCTCGCAAAGGTTGGAACATACAACACAAAATTTGTCGGGAAAGTGAAAGCCACAAGTGCACAAGACGTATCGAATCAAACTGGCAGGATCAAAAGCAACTAATAAGTGGCTGCCTGTGCGGACCAGGAACACTGTTTCTCGCGGTTGGCATAAAAAGATTTTGTTTGGCTTGACCAGGTGAGATACTGGGCTGCAGCAATCGTTCAATTTACTTGGTGGCATGACAAAGGGTATCCGGCTCTGTTGCATTTCAATTTCATCCTTGTGCTCACCATCCGTTTCTATTGGTCCTGCAGGAAAGATATTGAAATATTTTTCTTTCGTCGAGGCAACCACAAATACGACAACTGAGAAGCAGAAAAACAAAAGCATTTGTATACCTTTTTCAAACTAGAACTGAAGCAGCCATCATGGACAGACCTACTGGCATTTCGCCCATCTCCCCCAATTTCCACAAGCGATTCGAAAATGTGGAACAATACGTTTCGGAACTTGGTGGTGACAAATCCTTTGTCATTGAAAAAGTTTTGATTGCCAACAATGGTGTCGCAGCAGTCAAGGCTATTCGATCCATTCGCCGGTGGGCCTATGAAGTGTTTGGAAACGAAAAAGCGATTTCCTTCGTGGTCATGGCCACCCCTGAAGATTTGCGGTAAGGGTACAGTATGCTGCTTTGTTGGTTTTGCATTGCGTGATAAGTGAAGTTGAAGCTCACTTACGAAGTTTTTGCCTGCACAACTAACTTGAAACAGAGCCAATGCTGAGTATATCCGAATGGGAGATGTCATTGTGGATGTTCCGGGTGGCTCCAACAACCACAACTATGCAAATGTCACCCTCATTGTGGAACTGGCCAGGCTTCATGGAGTCAATGCCGTGTGGGCTGGATGGGGCCACGCTAGTGAGAATCCATTGCTCCCTGACACTCTAGCCAAAAGTGTCCCTCCTATCAAATTCATTGGACCTGCTGGACCTCCTATGAGAGCTTTGGGGGATAAGATTGGAAGTACCATCATTGCTCAATCGGCCAAAGTACCTTGCATTGCCTGGAATGGAGAAAATGTCAATGCAACTTACGACAGAGAAAGTGGGTCTCTTCCCAAGGAAGCCTACGACGAAGCCAGCATTGCAAGTTCTCAGGAGGCCGCCGAAGCCGCCAACCGAATTGGATTTCCAATCATGATCAAGGCGTCCGAAGGAGGCGGTGGAAAGGGAATTCGCCGAGTGGATAATCCAGCTGATGTAGCCAATGCTTTCCGACAAGTGTGCGGTGAAGTCCCGGGCAGTCCAATCTTCATCATGAAACTTTCGTCCAATTCTCGTCACTTGGAAGTCCAGCTCTTGGCTGACGAGTATGGCGATGCGGTGGCGCTCAATGGACGCGATTGTTCCGTGCAACGTCGTCACCAGAAAATCATCGAAGAGGGACCTCCAGTGGCGGCGGACCCTAAGATTTGGGTGGAAATGGAGAAGGCAGCAGTTGCTCTTGCCAAAGCTGTGGGATACACCAACGCAGGAACAGTCGAATACTTGTATTCCGAATCAGAAGCAAAGTTCTACTTTTTGGAACTGAATCCAAGATTGCAAGTCGAGCATCCAGTAACAGAAATGATTACCAGGGCTAATCTACCAGCTGCACAGTTACAGGTTGCCATGGGAATCCCCCTCTACAATATTCCAGAAATTCGAGAGATCTATGGCCGTAACCGTTTCGATGACAATCCAAAAGACGCAAGCGCCAAAATTGACTTTGACAACGTCTCGAGAGTTCCAGCGAATGGGCACTGCATTGCGGTAAGGATCACTGCAGAAAATGCTGAAGCCGGATTCAAGCCTACCAGTGGTGGTATTCAAGAGTTGAACTTCCGTTCGACGCCTAATGTTTGGGGCTACTTCAGCATGGACAGTTCCGGGTCCATTCACGAATTTGCAGACTCTCAGTTTGGGCACTTGTTTGCCAACGGCCCCGACAGAGAGCAAGCAAGGCGCAATATGGTGCTAGCCTTGAAAGAGCTTTCCATCAGGGGAGACATCAGTACTACTGTTGACTACATTTCAAAGCTAATAGAGCTTGAGGACTTCGTGAACAACAGAATTGATACAGGCTGGCTGGACGCTATCATCAAGGAAAACGTCGATGGAATGGCCGCTGCTGAGAACGTGCTCCAAAGACGCAAGACGAATGTAAAAATTGACGCTCTGCATGACCATATGCACATGGTAATTGCTGCTACCGTTGTGGCTTACAATCGTTGCAAGACTGGAGAAGAGTCGTTTGTGCAATCACTGGAAAAGGGCCAACTGCCATCTCGAACATGCGTCGACATGAAACATGACGTGGAGCTCATCCTGAATGGAGTGAAGTACAAGTTGCGATGCACCCGCAACGGACCGCATGCCTTCTCCATTGGCTCTTCAACAGGCACTGAGAGCGTCGCTACATCGGTTAGGGTTCTCAGTGATGGCGGCTACCTGATCGACATTGCTGGAAGCAGCCATGTTGCATACCTGACCAGCGCGCCTGAAGCTGCGACGGGAATGCGTATCAATGTTGGTGGAGCGAATATTGCATTTTCTCCCGACTATGACCCGTCATCTCTGCGTTCTGACGTTGCAGGCAAGCTCGTCAAAAGGCTGGTCGGTGACGGTGCTCATGTGAGGAAGGGAGAGGTGTTCGCCGAGGTCGAGGTGATGAAAATGTTCATGCCTCTCAAAGTCGACGAGGCCGGTGTCCTATCGTGGAATGTCAACGAAGGAGCCGCTCTTGCACCGGGCGACCTGTTGGCCACTCTGGAGCTTGACAACCCTGACAATGTCTCCACCGTGGAACTGTTTGAAGGTGATCTCAATTTGAACCTGTCAGGACAAGCAAGTGCCACCGCCTCCACCAGGAGAGCACACCTCCTGTTCCGCGGGGCAATTGAAAAATTGAATGGAGCTGTGTCTGGTTACGTACTCAGCGATGAAGCTATCGAACGCGCCATTTCTGATTTGGCCAGTGCGGTGATGGACCCGGAGTTGCCTTTGCTCGAGATTGACGAACAGCTATCGGTACTGAGCGGCCGAATCCCGGGAAAGCTTTTCGATGGCATTTCGTCTATTTTGCAGGATCAAAAGACGCTGATAGCGGAGCAAGCAGGAAGTGGCGTACAGGTGAAGTAAGTGATCCGATTCAGCCAGGGCTACAAGCTGTCGATTCGTTGACTGACCTCGTCTTTTTAAGATTTCCCGCCAAACAGATCATTGATTTGCTGCAGGCGGAAGAAGCTTCATTCACTGATGCATCAGAGCAGTCTGCATTCCACGCGCTAACAACTCCATTGCGTGATGCTGTGGTACCTTACACGAAAAGCAAGGCCGCCGGTGTCCCGGGGTCTGAAAGGGCCCTTCATAGTTTCCTTTCCCTCCTTCGGAAATGGGTCGCTGTCGAGCGATGGTTCTACGATGCAAGTTCCTACGCTGATGCGGTTGAAAGCTTGAGAAAAGCGCACAAGAATGATTTCGTCACCGTGTTGGAGGTGTGCAGGTCGCACGAGCAGCTGAAGCTGACATCAAGCATTGTGAAACGAATTGTTTCAGCCATCGGAGACGGTTACAAGTTGGATCCAGAAACCAGTAACGTTTCGCCAATCGGCAAACGCGTCTCTGTGGTTGCTGGGGCGGAAAGCCTATCAGATGCCATTCCTGCCATCTCCGAAATTGGATCGATGGGCAATAAGAAAGAGTACTCCGATGTGGCTTTGAAAGCGCGAAAACTGTTGATGCAACAGAGCATGCCAAGCTTTGAAGAGCGCAAGGCGAAAGTTTTGGAAGCAGTAGCGAAGTTGACTGCTGCAGACGGTGCCCAGTCTACAAAGGAGGTAGACGAGTTGTTGGCCGATCAAACCCCCATGGTGGACGTATTCTTTCCATTGTTGACCAGTGTCTCTTCCAGCAGCGAAAAGGTTGGTTTGCTCGAGCTTTATGTGCGCAATTTCTACAGAACGTACTCTGTGAAGATGATACAACGAAACGCAGAGGACTCCCTACTGAAGTTTACATTTATGAACAAGCGGTCAGAAAGTGCGATTCACTCTTCAACGTCGGTCACCAGTATGTCTGATTTGACCAGAATTATGAGCAGCTCTGCTTCTTTGAGCAATCTGGGAGCTGCCGAGGACTCGGTCCTATCAATGGACGACAAAGAGAAGATCCCGCCCCAAACCCTTCGGACTGGCGTATTTGCGGTTGTTGACAAGTTCGATGACCTGGTTGACCCGGGAAAGTTCTCCAGCGTCTTGCAACAATTCCCGTCTACCTCTTCATCCGATCACGCGCCCTTCAATGTGCTGTATTTTGTAGTACTTTGCACAAGTGTGGGAAGTGACGAAGGCACCGATGAAAGCATCTCCAAGAAAGCAACGGATATGCTCTCGCAATGGTATGACGTCTTGAAATCTGCAGGTATTCGCAGGGTCACCCTCCTGTTCAAGCAAGAACAAGACGACGAATTCGAGGAGTACCGCGCCCCGGTCCTTTTCACTTTTAGATCCCCAGACTTTCAGGAGGACTCCATTTATCGCCGCATTGATCCAAGTCACGCCCTTCATCTTGACCTTAACCGGGTGGCAGCGAACTTCCGAGTGCGCAGTTTGGGCTCCAGGCACACATCCACTTGCCAAGTTCATTTGTACGAAGGCACACCGAGGTCCTCGGCTTTGGCCAAGGACAAGAAGGCCAACCGAGCAGCGAGGGTGTTCGTACGTGCGTTGAGTTTTGTTCTCGACTTTTCATCTTCCAGCTTTGAACGAATCCTGGTGGATGCCTTGAATGCCTTGGATCTGTGCGCAACCAAGAGCACCACGGACAACCACTTGTTCATTAACCTTGTCAGTGACTACGAGAAAGCAGTTCTTGACCCTGTGGTTGTTGAGCAAGTGGTGGTCGACATTCTGAAGCGTCATGGCGAACGCGTTTCAAACCTCGGTATTGTAGAGGTGGAAGCACGAATTGTGTGTTGCCTCAGCTTGGACTCTCCTCCAATTGCGTTGCGACTTGTCGCCAGCAACCCGACCGGGTTCGTCCACGTGATGAGTACATATGTGGAAGCTGCGGTGGAGTCTGGAACCGAACGTATCTTCAAACTGATTGGAGGAACAAAGGCGAGCCTAGCCAGCACCGGTGATAGTTCTTGGGAGGGCCTGAACGTGGACACACCGTACCCGTTGACAAGACCGTTTGATGCCCAGCGTAATGCAGCTCAACGTTCATCTGACACTCTGTATTGCTACGATGTACCAGCCCTCTTTGAAGCCGCCGTCGAACAACAATGGGCGACAACGTCCACTCTGGGAGGAATCAATGGGGGGATCAGAGCAGCATCGCGCCCGTTGATGGTGATGTACACAACGGAATTGGTGGTGAAAAGGAAGGATGGTTCGGGCAGTTGGACCATGGAAGACTACATCAACGGCGAATTGGAACTGCAGCAGATTAACCGAGGTGCAGGCGCGAACGATGTTGGCATGGTGGCTTGGCTGATGGTCTTGAAAACTGTGGAGTATCCAAATGTGAGGTTTCGTGTGCACGATTGTTTCGCTTGGTCGCTTGCATTGTTTCTAATTCTTTCTCTCTGCTTCCTCTTGTGCAGGGACGTCAAGTTGTCCTGATTGCAAATGACATTACTCACAAAGCTGGCAGTTTCGGCACCCGTGAAGATGTCGTCTTCAAGATGGCATCCGAATACGCCAGGCATATGCGCATTCCTCGCATTTACATTGCCGCGAATTCGGGAGCAAGGATTGGTCTTGCATCGGAAGTGAAGAAGCGCTTCAAGGTCGCTTTCAAGGATCCTGCTCAGCCCGAAACAGGGTTTGATTTTCTGTATGTAACCAAGGAGGACTACGAGGACCTCAACAAAGGCAAGCAACAGATCATGGGCAGCCCCACTTCCTACAACGGCCAGTCGGTATACCAGGTGACGGACATCATTGGCGCTGAACCCGACCTTGGCGTAGAGAACCTAAAAGGATCCGGGCTCATTGCGGGCGAAACAAGTGTGGCCTACGATGAGATCTTCACGATGACCATTGTGCTTGGAAGGTAAGGTGGCACATTGAGAAAAGGGTATTTCAGGTTGGCTGGCTGGCTGTCGTCTCATTTGAAATACAACTGTTGTTTGTTTCATTAGAACTGTTGGCATCGGGGCTTATCTCGTGCGTCTTGGACAAAGAACCATCCAGAGGATGTCTGCATCCCCCATCATTTTGACTGGCTACCAAGCTCTGAACAAACTGATGGGAGTTGATGTGTATTCCACCAATGATCAACTTGGAGGACCCGGTATCATGTATCCCAATGGTATCTCGCATATGGTTGAACCTGATCATCTTCGTGCTGTCAAGTCCGCCATCGATTGGCTATCCTACGTCCCTTCAGTCCGAGGTGGATTGTTGCCCGTTGCGGACATTCGAGGTTATGATGAAATCGAACGACCAGTCTCGTTCTGCCCATCTCCTGGAGCCACCTATGACCCACGCGCGCTGATAGCTGGAGGCGAAGACGATAGTGGTGTTTGGCAAAGTGGTTTCTTTGATAAGGGAAGTTTCACTGAAGCGCTCGCAGGTTGGGCAAAGACTGTCGTTGTCGGACGCGCACGACTTGGAGGAATCCCCATGGGTGTTATCATTACCGAAAATCGCACAGCCGAAGCCGTCAAGCCCGCTGACCCTGCGGATGTGAAGGCGTCCGAAGCGGTGATCCAAGAAGCTGGATGTGTGTGGTTTCCCAACAGCGCCTACAAGACAGCACAGGCTATCAAGGACTTCAGGACTGAGGATTTGCCTCTAATTGTCTTTGCCAACTGGCGTGGGTTTAGCGGAGGCCAACGTGATATGTTCGATGAGGTTCTCAAGTACGGGTCGTTGATTGTTGATGCTTTTGTATCCTATGAGCAGCCAGTTTTTGTTTTCATCCCACCGTTTGCAGAGATTCGAGGTGGTGCTTGGGTTGTCCTTGATGCATCCATCAACGCATCGGTAATGGAAATGTATGCTTCTTCGAAAACAGCTCGCGGTGGTGTTCTTGAAGCTAACGGAGCAGCCAGTGTCAAGTACAGGACACCAGACCTGATTGTAACCATGCACAGGCTTGATGATCAGTTGATTGCGCTGGACTCGAAGCTGGCATCGGAGAGCGATGATGCGGCGAAGAGCGCCATCAAAGAGAAGATTTCCAAGAGAGAGAGCGCTTTGCTTCCTGTTTACGAACAGATTGCAGTTCAGTTCTGTGAACTGCATGATACACCTGGAAGGATGAAGGCTGTTGGCGTGATTCATCGGGAAGTTGAGTGGAAAGAGTCTCGCACTTACTTTTATTGGCGCCTTCGCAGGAAGCTTGCCGAGTTCGATCTGCGTAAGAAGCTGGTCGAGGCATCCCAAGTAGGCCGATCGGTGAAGACACTGTCGCCACTCGAGGCGAGTGCCGTTGTCAAACAATGGTTCCTGGAGACTGCTGGAATGGATGAAGCTGGGTGGGACAATGACAAGCTCTTGCTTTCCTGGATGGGAGAACGCTATGCAGAGCTAGAACAAAAGGTTTTGGACTACACCAAGCGATGTGTAGCGGAAGAAGTTGTGCAAGTAATGACATCCGGCGGGAACACTGCCGTGATTGGAACAGCAGGAATTGTGCAAGGAGTTGGAGAGGCGTACAAGAAGATGGACCCAGAGCAGAAGGCTCATTTCATGAAGATGCTGAAAGAAACTCTTCAGATGAGTTGAGGTGGCTAGCTACTACTAGACTTGGTTTGTGTTGGCATTAATAATATATAAGAAGAGAAACAAATGAACTTGAAGCAGCGAAGTACTAGTACTGTAGCGATTCATCACAAGCTAAAGGTGTTTCTACCGATCTGTACTTTCCTTGCAATAATCTCAGTGTCTGTAATAAGTGGTACTGGTACCGGTACCTGGTGCCATGGCCTGTGACACTTGAGAGTTCAAGCGGTTTGAAGCAACGGGTGCATCTACCGGTCTACCGGTATCTCCATGGTGATCTGTTGTGATACCACTACTACTCTAGCTAGGGTATGTTATTAGATAGCTAGCTTTTCAATCATCCCCCAAACCCCAATGGAGTTACAGCACTGGTACCGGTAAGGTACCTGGTACAGTACGCTGTACTAGTAGTATGTACCGTGGGCGTGTACCGGTACCTGGTACCGGTATGCGCGCCTCAAAACCACGGTACCGCCTGCCGTGCAGCGAGCTTGACGCAAGGGCGAAGAAGACGAAGCCGGACACAGAACTGGAAACCAATTGCCAACAGTGCAAGGTTGTGTATTGCCATTTCCAAAATGCATCTCGCCAACAATGATCCTGCCTTCATTCGAGGGTTGAAGAGTTTGTTGAAGCGGCGTGAGAGTGACTGTATTGAAATTGGTGATCACGCAGTGGAAAGAGTTTTGGCAACGGCCCCATACTCGAGAAGAGTTCCGCCCACGGTCAACGCGAGTCCAACACCAAGGCTAATATGGCTTCTGAAGGACCATCTCTGTGCTTCTGCCAACAAAAATGCGAGCGTTCCTGCAAGAAAAAAGTCGTATTCTGCTGCTCTCTTTTTGCTTTCTTCGATTGACGAAGCTGTGTTGAGAGGCATTAATCAACACAGCGAGTCGGCGGAGGAAATGGATTGCGGGGGTACAGTCTGTAGCTCTCGTGATGATTCACCGAAAGGCATTAAGCAAAGCGTTGGTTTGTCGTCTTCCAATGCTCGTCAAGCTGATCGAGATTCTGGAAAGAGTCTTTCGCGGCCTTCCTCCCACAACGCGCAGCCTGCTGTCATTGAGGAGTCTTTCGAGAGTGCTCCCAACGAAAACCCAAAGAAAACCCAGGTACCATCACGAAGCTCGGTGACAGAAACCAATCCACACGAAAAACGCCCATCAAACAACGCAAAGAAGGGAAGATTTCTTCTCTCTGGCTTTTGCAAGGCCAACAATGCCTATGACGACGACGCGGGCAACAAAAATATCCAAAATATCGACGCCGCGGAACGCCGCAGGAATTCACAAACTGTATCCAACAATCGACAGCCCCCGGCATACGCCAAGAAATCATCTAATTTTGGAGCTGATAGAAGCAGCAAGCCTCAAACTGACGCGGAGCAAGCCAAGCGCAAGAAAGCTGCATTGGCAGAAGAAGCGAAGAAGCGTGCTAGCGCTGAAAAGGCCGCAAAAGAAGCTGCTGCACGAAAGGAAGAAATGGCGCGACAAGAAGCTAGGAAGAAGAAAGCCGCTGAAGAGGAAGCAAAAAAGAAGGCTGCGGCAGAAGAAGCTAGAAAGAAGAGGGCTGCCGAAGAGGAAGCAAAAAAGAAGAGGGCTGCTGAAGAGGAAGCTAGAAAGAAGAGGGCTGCTGAAGAGGAAGCTAGAAAGAAGAGAGCTGCAGAGGAGGAGGAAGCCAGAAAGAAGAGAGCTGCCGAGGAGGAAACTAGAAAGAAAGCTTTTGAAATGCAGAAAAGAAAGCAGCAGGAACAGCGAAAGCGCAAAGAGGCGGAAGCTGAGAGAACAAATCTTGTTTTGCAGTCAGGACTCAAAGATTGCGATCTCCGTCCTCAAAGAGTATTTGTTCCTGCAGATCCAAAGCCGACGAAGTCGGGCTGTCTCTACGAAAGGCCCGTGTTCAATGTCTCATTCACGCCGAAGGCTTTGTCGACAGAGCAGGCACATAGCTTGGCATCGCGCCTTGACCGGTGGGATCCCTACTGGAGCGTTTGCAGCTACGTAGCGTGTGGTGTTACGTCGCGTGCCGGCAAAGTACCCTTGGTGGTGGAAAAGGACACTGGAAAGACTACGACAGCTCCCAGTAAGTATAGCGAAGGGTGTCTGCGATTTCTCTTGCATCTGCTCACGCTGCTTGCTGTAATTCCAGTTTCATTTGCGGCGTGCAGCATTACGCTGCAGCACAAAGATATCAAAGACATGAATAATACTTGTAGGTATTTGCTTGAACTTGAAGATGCCTTTTACGATTCTTGTGCTGCACTGCTGACACTTTCCCTTTATTGTTTAGGTTGGGGTTCCCCCGCATCTCCTGAATTCAATACAGGTCAGAAACGTTTGATCATGCGCATGCTCCCCGTCGATCTCAATGCCCTGAGCGGCAAGAAGGGCAAAAAAAGGGCGGATGCACATCTCTGGCCGAAGGGGAGGTGAGGATTTCTTCTAGAGCACGTGGTATTCGCACATTGTTCACTCCTCTTAACCCTGCACGGCCCGTTATCGACCTGTCTATCTCAGTTACATCGTTGTGAACAAATCCGCCGCTACGATTGCTCAACGCAAGCAGCAAGCGCATGCGCCTGAAGAATGGAAAGGGCTTTCGCGGTCGCTAGACTTGACAAGTTACATTTCAAATCCCACCAGGCGCAATGAGATCAAGATTTTGGCATACGACGAGCAGGAGTTCTTCTACTGCATTGCTTTGGTCGAATACAATTCAACAGGTTCGTCGCCCCCCGCGAGTATGGCGCATTTTGCCTGATGGCGCAAACTCACTTTGTGACTTTTTTGAACGATCCAGCAACTCTGTCCAAGAAGCTCCTTACTGATCCCCTATTCGAGCACCCGTCTGTCAGCGAGAGCGTCTCCATTGCAAAGACACATACACAAACAGCCACCTCTATAGACGAATCTGACAACGAGGAAAAGGAAGAAGAATCTGGCAGGTTTGTCTTCACCCTTACATGCCCTTTCTCCATGACAATAATGCAGAAGCCAGTTCGAGGCAAGCAGTGCAGCCACTTTCAAGTACGTCTTGTCTCGCTCTTGCTTGCTTCAGCTTCAGGTTCATACTATGTCAAAGTATGCAATTGTCTCACCTTGTGTCCCTGCACCGTGTATCCTAAAAGTGCTTTGATCTGAATAGCTTCCTCTCGTCGAATTCAACGTTGCATGGTCAGCAGTGGAAATGCTTCAGTTGCGAGAAGTTTCTAGGCTTTCAAGACCTCCGGGTGTGCCAACTCACAGAATCGTTGATAAATGAGTTTAAGGGTCAGATTGAACCCTCCTCAAGGGACCGCGTTGAGTTTTATGCAGATGGCAGTTACAAGCTCCTCCCAGCTAAGAAAGCAAGAGGCAAAAACAAAAAGCGAGGTGCACCTGTATCAGAATCATCGGAAAGTTCCAAAGTCAAAAAAGCCAAAGTCACCAAGCAACAAGCTGAGCCTGAAATCATTCTTTTGGATTGAAAAGGCAACGGGAAATCACACAGTTCATCCTTGGAGGATGCAATGAGGTGGGACCAGAAGAGATAACACCTAGGAGACGTCTAATTTCTAAAGAAACTCTGCTGGCTTTACGGTACAGGAATGGTTACACGTGTACGGCTTTCTTGAAAGGAAGTGTGCGTCCAGGTTCAAAATTGCCAACGTCCTCTTCTTCATGCCTCTTTCTTCATCTCAATTGCGCCTGGCACTTGTTTTGGCTGTGCCATCGACTAAAATAGATCTAGTACTATTAAATAGCTAGCTAGCAGATCGTACCGGTATCGACTTTGCATTCTAGCCGTAGTCTACTATAGCTAGCTACGGTAGTAGACAAGAAAGAGGAGAATAATGAGCAACTCCTTCAGCAATCCACCGGCAGTCTCTCCTTATTTTTCAGGAGCCCCCAACTCGGCCCAACGACAAGATCAGGGACCCACATTGCGTCGCAGAAACCCCACGGTTTCGGGTTCGGACAATGGACACGGTATTGATCGAAAGCCTTCTGGGCGAGCAGGAGGTTCTGTGGTCCAGAAGATGGATTTTATGTTTCCAAAAGTTCATTCGGACTTTACAGTACAAACAGATCGTGGAGGAGCGGCGTCTTTGGTTGCCTATATTTTGATTGCGATTCTTCTTCTTGCCGAGACTTTTACATGGCTGGGTCAAAACAGAGCCACCTCCGAGCACATTTCCGTCGACACGAGTCTAGGGAAACGAATGCGTGTCAACATCAACATTACATTTCCAGCTTTGGCCTGTGAAGATCTCCACGTGGATGCCATGGATGTGGCTGGAGATTCTCAAATCAATGTGGCAGATACCATGGTGAAACGAAAGCTTCATTTGGATGGACGGCCTCTGTCCAAAGAGGAAATTAAGGTGGAAACAAACGCTCATAGGCAACACCAAGAAACCAAGGAACGACTTCTCAAAGAAGCACTGCCAGAAGACTATTGTGGGCCTTGCTACGGTGCCCAGGATACCGACGAACAGTGTTGTAATGCCTGCGACGATGTCATTGATGCCTACAGTAAGAAAAAATGGAGAACTGATGCTCTCTTTCTCACTGCAGAGCAATGCATACGAGAAGGAAGAGATAAGAGAGAACCAAAACTTATGACGAAAGGACAAGGGTGCCAGCTATCAGGATACATGACAGTTAACCGCGTAGCAGGAAACTTCCACATTGCAATGGGAGAAGGAATCGAGCGCAATGGACGACACATTCATACCTTTGTGCCAGAGGATGCACCAAATTTCAATGCATCACATACAATTCACGAGCTCACTTTTGGACCAGATGGACACCAAAACAATGGATCCCCGCTCAATGGCGTCTCCAAAATCGTCAAGGAAGAACATGGTACAACGGGGCTCTTTCAGTACTTTATCAAAGTTGTACCTACCAACTATGTAGGTATGGACGGTCTTGGTGATGAGGGTGACGCCGACGCCGCAAACAAAAACAAAAACAACGAAGGAATGCCTGTCTTCGAGACAAACAGGTACTTCTTCACGGAGAGATTTCGACCTTTAATGGGAGAAGAAGAAGTATCCGACGAAAAACAGGAAGAAAACGAGAACGACAAACGAAGAGTGGCGAATGCAGGTCATGGCGGAGGGCATTCCAACAAGGATCATCACAAAATTCAAAACTCGGTCCTTCCTGGTGTCTTTTTCATCTACGAGATCTATCCTTTCGCAGTTGAAATATCACAGAACAGCGTCCCTTTCACACACTTGCTGATTCGATTGATGGCCAGCGTTGGCGGCATTTTCACGATTGTCAAGTTGGCAGATGCCTTCTTGGATGACAGAGACAGGCGACGGGGTCGCTAAACGTTGGATCTTTTTCTGGTATAGCTAGCTAACTTGGTTCACGTTGAAGTATAGGAGCGAAATGATAGAGAGTGGAAACTTGCTTACCGTAGCGTTTAGAAAGGAAAGCATTTCCACCACGGCTGTGCTTGCCTTCACCTGTTCAGCCTGATCGGTACTGTATCTAGATACCGGTACGGGGCAGCGGCGACTGCTAAATTGACAGGAAGACTGCCCACTGTCCGTAATCAGAACATTGTTTCATGTAGGAATCTACACCAACCAATTACTGCTTACTAATTATACTCGTGCCAGTCGGAAGTCGGAAGAACTACTAGCTACTGCGGGGAGCATTAGTGTCACTGAGATATATATTTTTGCAATCAACAGAAGTTCTAATCCTAAGACACCGCTCAAATGGCATTCCCTGAATGTCGACAAAAAGAGAGCGCAACTGGCACAGCTTTTATTTGGCCATGGGGTGCTTTGAAATGTACTCAGCAGCATCACCAATGCTGGCAATGGCATCTGCTTCAGTGTCTGGGATTTCAATGGCAAATTCATCCTCAATGGCCATGACAACTTCCACAATATCCAAGGAATCAAGTCCCAAGTCATCGGCGAATTTGGTCTCGGCCGTTACCTTGCTGGGATCCACTTGATCAAAATTCTTGACAACCCCCATGATGCGATCAACGACTTCGCTCTCGTTAAGGAAGGCCTGAGAAAATGTCAGCGAAGAAAACAGAAAGCATTCGATATGATGAGAGCTGGGATACACACTTGAGACCTCAAAGGAACTTTTGATAAGGCAACACGCACCGGTGGAGAAGAGAAGTGTCGCAATGTGTAGACTGCAGGAGCCCTCTGCCTCAAGGCGACAAAGTTTGAAGAGGATCCAAGAGATCGTACCGCACGAGGTACTGTGCGGGATACGGCAAGACGAGCAGCTGAAAGAAACATCTTGGGTATATCTATATCTACTTGAAGGGCAAAGGAGAAACAGAAAGAAAACAGTTAATTCCAAAAATTCTGCTGAACGATCACGGTGTCAAGGCACCTAGCTAGCTACCAGTAGATGATAACACGAGCGCCCCGATGCCACGAGCCCGAAAGGACCACAACGACAACATACCGATGAAGATGGTTGTGGTGTTTCGACCTGAGGTTTGTTGGCAGCCATTCCATTCAGAGCTGACAAAGAGATACGCAAATAATGATTTTCAGGACCCACACTTTCCCTCGAACGATACCGGTACACAGTGCGTCCTAAAGTGTTCTGTTCGATAGAATTCCACCGTGAGGTCTACCGAACGACTTAATTAATAATGGGGGTTTGGGGGTGGATTCTGCAAAAAAAAGTTAGCAGATTTAGTATAGAGGAAACAGTTCAAAAGCCGATTTTGCTTTTAAGGGTCATATTTAAGCAAATTCAGTGGGTTAAAGCATGTACTAGTTAAATACAGGCAAATAAGCCACAAGATCCATGATATCCAAGCTTAAGCCATAACCTTTAGACATGGTTTGAATAAATTAAAAGCATTAAAGGGGTCATGCCTCACATTGCCAATTTGTGTGGTACCAGCATTTGCAATGTATCGTTCCACTGAAATCGAAAGAAAATGGTTCTCAGAAACCACATAAGGTAAGCTACCTGCAGCTCTAGCACTGACAGAACAAGAAAGAATGTCTTCTAACTAAAGGTCATTTACTATCTTCTAAAGGTACATAAGTCCCTAGTTATAAGAAATTCCATTAAATGGAAATTGAAAGAAAAAGCTTCTTACCCCTTCTACCATACAGTGTACTGATAGTGCTGCGGATTAGCATGAACGTACCCGTTCTACCATACAGCTTACTGGTACGGCTTACTGGTACTACTAGCTAGCTAGAAGTGCTGCGACAGCTTACTGGTACTACTAGTAGCTAGCTAGAAGTGCTGCGGATTAGCATGAACGTACCCGTTCTACCTGCAGTGTTCATGTACCTACCCGAAATACCAGCATGTACTAGCTAGCTAGTAGTGTATGTACCGGTACCACCAACCCACAGGCCGAACAGAAATACCGCGCCATTATTTATGTACTGGCTAGCTAGAGTACACACCAATGCGCATAGCCAGGTGGGATTAGCAGCACTACCAGCCCGAAGACCATTCACGTAAATGGAATATTTTCAGGGGCTTGGAGAAAGTTTAATTACAATAACCAATTGAATACCCCACTTCTCAAGTGTTTACCCATGTAGTTTGAAACTTTCTGAAGCCGTCCTTGCGGCCCGTCCCGAAGGACAGTACAGTCTTTCCCAGTTCTGTGCGGAAGTTCTCACCCCCGAGATGACTCACGCGGATCCTGCGCGACAGGCTGCCATCGCCCCTTTGGTCCAATGGTTCCGCGCCTGTTGTACGTTGGTCGCGGGGGGTCATACGTCCACTAGTAATGACGCCGCCAACGTGGCCGCGCCCATTAGCGCAAACGCGCTCCAACGAAGCACCAATCGGGTGCTCTCCCCCTACCTGGCGGTGCTTGGCGCGGTAGGTTCGGGCCTGACCAACGCAACCTTCAATGCGGGAATCACGAACCTACGTGATACGCTGGAGGCCACTGTTGAACAACAACTCCAGTACGACCGTGAAAAGAGCAACAAAACCTTCACGGATAAATTCGGGGCTGCCCTAGCCACTCCCTTCCACAACCTCTGCAACGTGGCCGATGACGCAACCTTTCCCGTCATTCACCGTCTACTCGCGAAGTCCCCCAAAGGGAATGAACACGGGATCTTGCAAGCTCAACTAGACGAACGCACTCAGGCATCAGCACTGCCCATTAACCTCGCGAACAAACTCGTGGTCACTGGACACATTCTGGATCGTGTCTTCCGCAAGTACTTCGTGAACGGTCAAGGGACCACCTTGGGCGAGGGCCTCTCCCCCTTCTCGGTAGTGTGCCAAGGTCATTCGGAAGCCAAGGCAGTCCAGGACTTAGCAGCTCGAGCAGAGTACGTTGAGAAAGGAGCCTCCGTCACCTTGGAAGATGCCATCGCCATCACTTCCACCGACGTCAAGTTTTCCACCGATGGTCGCATTGCGGAGGAGAAGCTCTATGGGTTCTCCATCATGATAGATGTCTTCCATGGAGGAAACCATCCAGTCTCGCGCTCGGTGCGTGATGTTGCCCTCTCGTTGGGATCCTACCTCCACACCATCCATGGCCTACACGCTGACAACCGGAGTGTGGCGGTGGACTTGTGCGGTCGCATCCTTTTCGAGGTCCAACAAGATTACTTCTTGTGGGTCAACGAAGCTATCCTAAATCCGGGCGCTGCTGCCCCCAACTTTGGAGCGCTGACTAGACTCGTTCAGTCCTCCCGTGCTTCGTCTCTCGCGGAGCTCCCAGCTCACTGGTACTCGTTCTTCAAGCCCGCTTCCGAGCCACCTAGCAAGAAGCCTGCCGGATCAAACCAACAGCGAGCGGGAGCACACCTGGTTACCAACGTCCACGGCGATGAAGACCTCTTGAAGCGTTTCCAGGACTCAGAGTTCCGCTCCATCACTGAAATGATGACCAAGGACCACCAGTATACAATTCCCAAGCACGGTGGTCAAGACGTCTGTATGGCCTGGGCCCTCAAAGGTAGCTGCACCTCCGGATGCAAGCGCGCTGCCACCCACAAGCGCTACTCGGCTGCTACGGTGCAGAAACTCCACACTCTCCTCACGGACTGTGGAGTTGCTGACCCGCAGCCCTGAGTCTCCACGCCTGGACTCGCCACCCGTATTGGAACGCCCGCTCCTATCTCGGTGGCGTCCATGCCTCGCAAGCAGTTTGGTCTCCGCCCTTTTGATCGCGATGTCTCTCCTGTGAAACCTCCAAGGACTAACAGGGGCACTCCTGCTCGCAAAACACCTTCACACAAAATTTCTACTACTTCAATTCACGCCCTCTCACACGCAGCCTCGCTGTCAATGTCTTCATCGTCAAAGCGGTCGGCTGGCCTACTGCCCGGATCACCTAAGAAACGCCGACCGCCCTCATCCACTACATCAAACACCACTGAAACTTCTAGCCCTGCCGTTGATACCAGATCAATCCGAAATGACAGACTAGGTACGTTAGTCCAAAACCTTTGCTCAGCCTACTCGAAGGCAGAGACGTGGGAATCCTTTGTCACCGACTTCAGAGGGCGCTCCTACCTTGCTCCGAACTTGGAGGATGTCGACCATCCTACCATCCCCTTGCTCTGCCACTGGAGAGACCATGGGGTCCCCGTACAAAACGAATCACCTCCCTGGACGACGGAACAGAAGGAGGAATGCATCCACCGCGGCTGCCACAAATCTGCTACCGAGCATTCCGACTTCCTCCGTGAGGAATTTTCTGAGTTCATCGAGAACAAGTTCTGGGCTGTCCTTCCATTCGACCTGGTTAAGGACGAACCCTCCCTCCTTCTATCTGCCGCTGCGGTAAAGGTGGAACGAGACCGAAAACCCCGACTCATCAGCGACCACACCTGGAACTGGGGTTGGCCCTCCGTCAACGAAACCACATTGCATCATGCGCCGTCCGAGGCCGTGCAATTTGGAAATGCCCTGCCGTGCATCTTGTACGATGTGCGTCACGCAAACCCCAAGTTTGGACCCGTCCGCCTCTGCAAACATGACATCAAGGACGGCTTCTACCGCATGTTCCTGAACCCTTCCGACTGCATCCGACTCATGCTGGTGCTGCCTCGCTATGAAGGTGAGCCCCAACTGGTGGCCGTCCCAATGTCATGCACCATGAGATGGGTCAAGTCACCGCCCACTTTTAGTGGGATGTCGGAGACTACCTGCGACCGAGCAAATGAACGCTTCCTGAAGTCCCCCAGAGCCTGTCCTCCACACAGACTTGAGCATCATGCCGAGGGAATGGATGACCTGGACCTGTCCACCACTCCTAGACCACGAGAAAGGAGGACCATGCGGCAACGCAAGAACTCCTTGGGATCGCCACCTCCCCCTTGAAGGCCGAACCGGACCACTTCGCGGGACCCTCGAACAGACCTTTGCTTCAGCCCATCGGGCGAAATGATGTGTTCGTTGACGACTTCATCCAACTGGGCCAAGGAGGAAAGGCCCGTATGAAAGCGCTACGCAGGCACTTACTCCATGCCATTGACGAGATCCTCGCAAGCCCCAACCTCAGCGAGAAACACCGAAATGAAGCACTCTCGCTCAAGAAGCTCCTGCAAGGAGATGGAAGCTGGGCTACTTGAAAACTCATCCTGGGATGGATCATCGACACCCTAACACCAACACCAACACCAACTACCAACCTAAAACCACCCCCAACTGGAACCCCTAGAGCCACTTTCTCCCCACCACCCACCTCCACAGGACACATCCCTTCCAGGACTCCTGCAACTACACCATCACCATCCACCATTGCACACCCACCTACCTCCACCCCTACTCCCACCACCATCCCATCAACCACTACCCTACCTTCCCCCCCCTAGACAAGCTGGAAGAAAAAGAGATAACCCTCTAACCCCAGAAGGACCCAGGTCTACCTCCACACATCCCAAACAGCAGGCCAAAACCAATGAGTCCACTCCCATGAACAACACCCCTGAAAGATCTTCAGCCTACAAGTCCTGGTCTGATATGATAGGAAGCAGTACCAAACTTGGCAACAAGATTGTTAAGGGACTCATCAAAGAGTTTGCCCCAACCCAAAACCCACTTCAAGACCCTGTTCCAGAAGACAATGACCTCCTACAACAGATGACCAACAAAGTTACTCCACAGAACAAACCAACCTTGGAAAATGAGGAACCTGACGAACAGCCACAAGAAGAAGGAGGTGCAACCTTGAATGTCTCAGAGAATGAAATGGACCCCGAAGAACAGTTGGAAGAACCAGGGACCACAACAGAGGAACATCCCAATGAACTCACTGAAGAAGAGGAAGCAGCTGCCACATCTGCACTCATGAACAGTGACACAAATGGCAAAGCAGACTCCCAGGACAACACTGAGCAGCCCAACAAACCAGGAAACCCAGGATCCACCCCTCCCCAGCCCCAGAATCCTTCAAAGACCAAGACATACAGAAACTGTCCACTCTATGCCTTGACCCCAAGACTGAAATCACTAGACTCTGGCACAGTATCACTCGCGAGATCACCCTCAAGAAGATCCTACCCTTCAACACTCTGGACATCTCACAAGGAGCCAACCACCCCCAAGTGGCAGCAGTCTTCAGAATCTGGGCCAACTCACCCATCGTCCAGCAGAACCTGCACAAATCCTTATGGAAAACACCTGAAGAATGGGGATACTTTATCCTAAAGGAGAGCTTGGAGACCACCCTCAAACAACACAGTGGTGACACCTATGTCTACCCAGACCCAAGGTCCCAAGGAAAAGGGGTCAAACTCCTTCTCCGCCTGGCAATGACACCACCTGAAGAGTTCCCATGTTTTGACTCCAGACTGAAAGCGTTACAGTTCCTCCCACGACTCAGAGTATCCGTGAGTAGATTGGGTCATGTTTTATGAGTCAACACGATGGAACAGAGAACGCTGGCAAGAACACG